GTTTGTTAATGTGTTCCTTCACCTCTAGCTTGTAGATAGGACCTTTGGACGGATCCTTCTCAACCCACTTCCGTGTCACTTGTCTTGGCGATCTCACCACCTTCTTATGCTTCTTACAGGTAACAGTTACCCAATCACTCTTAGAGGTATCATCAACTTGTTGAAACTTCACTTGAGCAACTTGCTTAACGATGAACGGGAGTGGACGCTTTTGTTCTTTCTTTCCCACAGAATCTTCCTTAAGAAGTGGAGCGAACCTTCCAAGTGATATCGTGACTTGATTTGTACTTGCAGTAGCATCGGCAAGTTCTATCTTTCCATTTCGAGCCAACTCCATGACTCTATCCTTGAAAACAAAACACTTTTCAATCGGATAGCTTATGAGACGATGATACTTGCAATAATTTGGGTCTTCAACTTTGGAAGCTTCCTCGGGACGCTTAATTTCTGGCAACTCAATCAACTTTTAGCAGCTCATCAAACATAGGGGCGGCATCTGACTCTAGGAATGGGTATTGTTTTTCTTGTCTCTCCTCTATAGTCATTATCCTCCTTGCGCTTGGTGGATTGTAAGACGGCCTTGGCTTTGGGGCTTCAGCTGTCTTAGTGAAAACTTTAATAGCTCTAGCTTTGACATTCATCGTTTCTCCTTTTTCTTGCTTTGAAAAAGGTTTGCCCCCTTTCTTAAAATCTTGATTTATGTTATCCTTTGGAGAGCTCGGCATATTGAACACACTCAATCCACCACCAACTGCAATATTTAGTTCCATGTCATGAGCTCGGCTAGAAAGTTCCACGAATGTTTTGGGTTTAATCCCTTGCAAGATATAAGAAAGCTCAAACCGCATTCCTTGAATACACATGTCGATAGTAGCACATTGTGATATCCTCTCTTGACAATTTAAGTACGCATTTCTCCACCTTTCGATGTATTCAACAGAAGGCTCTCCTTTCCATTGGCTGGTAGTTGTGAGCTCCAAAAAGCTGACCGTTCTTGTTGTGCTGTAGAAACGATCCAGAAATTCACGTTCCATGTCGTGCCAACTATCGATACAGCTTGGCTCAAGATCAGTGTACCAGTCAAAAGCCGTTCCTTTCAACGAGCAAACAAATTGCTTCACTAGGTAGTCCCCTATGTCCCAGCTTCATTGCAGGTTTCCACGAAATGGGTTATGTGTTGTCGAGGATTCCCCCTTCCCATCAAATTGTTGGAATTTAGGTGGCTGATACCCAGACGGCCCTTAGCTCCTCGATCCTTTGAGTGTAAGGCTTGGCATAAGTATAAGAGCGTTGTCCTACCTCGAGCTTCTCTTTAATAGCTCCAATGACGTTGTCATTTAGTTGCTCCACAGGAATCGTGCCCCCGAAAATTGGAACGCTCTTCTTAGCAAGTGATGGGCGGGATGCTCCTTCCTCCATCCCTGCAATGAGCCTATCGCCATGGGGTGGTAACTCTACATCAATCTCTTTTATTTGAGTTTGGGGCTGCTTCCCAGAAGCTCGACTCATTTCGCCGTTCCTCATGCTCTCTACCTTTTCAGCTAGGTCATTTATCCTCCTATCTTGGTTATGAAGAAGCGTCGTCACACCCTCGAGAGATTTGGTGATGTTTGCTAGCTGCTCCTCCACCGAAGCTGCGTTGGTTGTCATTGCAGGCATGACTGTGCAGACGCGAGTCCATTTCGGTGTTTTTTTCCACAAAGGTGATGATTGGGGTATGGGGGATAAGCTTCCACTGCTAGCAGTTCCTGTTGAAGGAGTAAGCGAAGGATTTCCACTTCTTGTAGCTTTATTTGAGGGAGTAGGAATCTTGCCACCAGTAGTCCCCGTTGTAGAAGATGAACCCTCGTCACGTGTAGCTTTCCTTGAAGCGATAGACTTGCTTTCGATCCTTCGGATGATATTACGCACCATGCTCTGAATTTCAGCCACTTTCACTCCCATGTTCCTTGCTCGACTCCGAGTCATTGCACCTTGCATCTCGCGACTATCATCGGAACTGGCCACGGACGATGCTTTGGAGCGGGTAGCTTGAGCGTAAGTCATCTTGGATGTGGGAATTCTTGATGCCATTTGGATTCTTGTGAAGAGATGTCCCACTGGGCATGCCAAAATCTATGAACAAGAAAAAGTTGTACAGTATATATTCAAATTTCAAAATTGCGCGAGTACAAGATCTCTATCAAAAAGTCCTCTGATTCTTCACTTAGTTTACTTGACTTGAAGCTTTGGCTGAAGGGCCTCCAGAATGCGGATTGTTCTTCAAAGAAGGGCTTTGTTGCTTGATCTTCGTTGAAGGGCCTCCGGTCTTTAGTTGGCTTGATCTTCAGTCCACTTTAGCTTAGCTTGAATGGTTGAAATATTTGATCTTCAATCCATCTAGCTTGACTTGATCTTCAATCCTTTGGCTTCAGAGCTTCTCTTCAATTCTTCAAGTGTTCTTCGTCTTCAATTGTGTCTTTTAGAATGTGAAATGAGGGCTCTATTTATAGGAGAAAGTCTAACCAAAATCCCTCAACAAACTCCCTAATTATTTATTAAATTAAATTAATTAATTATCTAATAAAATGAACCTTGCCAAAATCATGTCTATGTTCACTACTCTATCATCTAATTCAAATTCAAATTAAATTATAATTATTTAATTCAAATATAATAAAATTATATTATATTTAAATATAATTATAATTCAAATTCAAATATGAAGTGGGTTTGGACCAATTAATTCAATAGTCCAAATCAAATTTAATTGGACTAATTAAATCAATTTAATTTTTATGGTTCAATTAATTAAATTGGCCCAATAACAATTTTAACAACAACCCAATAATAATTTGTAATTTTATCAGTCTACTTATCGGGATCAAATTTTTTATACACACCTGCTTTAAAAGAATAGAAGCAGCAATTCTGTCGAATAGTTGCCCCGAAGAATTTCTAGAGAACGGCAATTATTACAACAAGGATAAACTGAGAGCTACATCTGGTCTATCATTGTCTCTATTACCATTCGAATCTATAGTTATAAATTATTGCAAGCTTAAAGTCTGGCAACAAATTTGAAAAAGTACTCAGTAGTAGGGATGACCAGTAATACATAGCTTCTGAAAGAAGTACTCGGACTATTGCTTCTGAAAAAACACGAAATCCATGAAGCGTGGATCAGCCAAGAGGAATATTAGATGCCAAAAAATAATACATATGCATTTAATTAATTTAGAATTAGATGTCTATAATGTCTTTATTTTAAAAATTTATTCATTATAAAAAATTTAAAAAGAGATATAATTTCATTAGTTATATTATCTTTATTTTCTACCATTCAAAGATTCCTTACCTTCAAATTTATTAATTTATTATATTCACTACATTGTCCATTATCATTTTTTTTTTACATATGTTATATATATTTAGGAAAAATTGTAAAAAATGCCCCTCTATAATATGTCAATTATCAATGTCAACTCTGAATTATGAGTGGTGTAAATGTTGCCCCTCAATATAATTATCAAAATGGTGCATATATAGCCCCTCCTGTAACGGACATGTGGTTCCCCGTTAGTGTACGACATCGTTAAATCGGAGTAAATATGTAACGATGTCGTACACTAACGGGGAACCACATGTCCGTTACAGGAGGGGCTACATGTGCACCGTTTTGATAATTGAGGGGCAACATTTACACCACTCATAATTCAGGGATGACATTGATAATTGACATATTATAGAGGGGCATTTTTTACAATTTTCCCATATATTTATTTACCAAGTATTTTATACAAACATAATAAATATTAATATTTTATTCAATATTTTCACATGATAACCTACGATACACATCTCACAACACATGAAACATGTAGGGGGAAAACTAGCACTACTAAATATCAATAGGTGCTTGTAAGATAAAGAGTTCATAGTACAATTAAGATCACAGTCATATACACAGCAAAACAAATCTAAAGCTTCCTACACTATAATCTCATTGCAATGTATCCCTCTATGCCACCAGTAACCCAATTGCAAATGACACACTACAAATAAATAAATAAATAAAAAAAAAAAAAAAAAAAAAAAAGGACATGTACTGAAGATGAATATAATGATAATGCTACCCAAAATAGAATTAAGAAGAATTAGAGAAATTTAAATCAAAAGTAGTATTTATTTAGACTAAGTATTTAGACTAGCGTTATTACAAAGTTGCAAACATTTATTTTAGTTACAATTATAATCAATCTATCATATATTATCTTGCATTTATATAATTTAAATTACCACTTTAAATAAACTAATTCAACATTTATTTACCTATACATGAACATCTTCCGTATAATATTGCATTGATATACTTTGAAATACTTATTTAAAAACAATTATTGGACATTATCACATTCGCGCGCATAAAAAAAAACTAGTACGAATATAAACACAAACGCTAAAGCAAAATTAGAAGCCCTACTAAAAAAAAAAAAAAAAAGCCAAATTAATTATAATTTAGGTAATTAAAATTTAAAAATTTTCCTCCAATAATAATATATAAATATATACAATAAAATCTTTCAAATCTGATTTTATTTATTTATTTATTTTCACATATCATCTTGAACCTTTCAAATCTCATTTTGTATATAATTAAAGTTGTTTGTTTTCGTAATGGGCGGGGGTCGCAATAATTATTTCTTGAAGTTGTGACTTAGTTGTCCTCCATCATCTGATTTAGATGTCCTTGGCTTTGGATGATCACATGCAGAATAAAATAAACAATATATAGAGAGAGATTTGCGCTGTAAGATTCCCAGTTAACATTAAACAATATATACGATGTTGTCATTATCTAACGTTAATCTTTACAAGTTGCAGAGTTTTTTACATAAAATACTGCCCTCTTGCAATTAAAAATGCTTTTCGTCTTGCAATTATGGCACTTAGAGCCATAAGGCAATTCCCAGTTGATGATAATTAATTACTATACGACGTAATTATCATACTAAGTGAGAAGAAGATCAGAAAGCAAATTCAATTCAATGGCTTGTGTAGCTGTAAACTCTCTTGTGAGAACTATTGAGCTTGAGTTCTTGCAACCTCAACCTCGTCCAATCGTACTACAAAAGCAACTCATCCCTGGCAATGAAGACTTGCTCCAATCTCTCCTCCAGAAGCTTGATGATCTGATAGAGCGGTTCGATGAGAACAGAATGGATGGTATTCAAGCCATTAAAGACTTGGAAACTAAGCTCAGAGATGTAGCTTTCAGAGTAGAAGATGAAATTGAATTTCAAATTAAAGATGTTTATGTTGCAGAAGAAGACGTCTTCGGAATTGAAGATATTTTTGCGGAGCGACCACAAGGGGAAACTACTGATGCCCAAAGAAGTTGGCATTCTCTCAAACTTGGTTGTATTTTGGAAGAAGCAATAAGAGACATTGATGCCATCCACAATGAGTTGTCCAAAGTGAAGGAGTACCAGCGTGTGAAAGCCAACTCGCATGGAAGGAAAACAAGTACACTTGCAGCAGCAGCAGCTTCCACCAGATGTGATGGAGTTGTCATGATGGGGGCTTCACACTCCCAGCCCCAGGACAATATAGTAATGGTGGGGAAAAACAATGAGTTCCAAATTGTAAAGAAGATGTTAATTCAGCATTCATCAAGGCAACGGGAAATTGTCTCCATCAATGGTATGGGAGGCATTGGCAAAACAACGTTAGCCAGACGAGTTTATGAAGATTCATCAATTGCCTTCCACTTTGACAAGCGAGCTTGGGTTGTTGCATCACAATATCATAATAAGTTACAAATGCTCACAGATCTTCTTAAATCAATAGGGGTTGTAGTGGATAGCAGCACTCAAGAGGATGAGCTAGCTGATCAACTATACAAATATCTGTTGCATCAAAGATATTTTGTTGTGATAGATGACATTTGGAGCGTTGATGCTTGGGATTCTATCAAAGCTTGCTTTTCAGATAACGCAAATGGCAGTCGAGTATTGTTGACTACTCGCTTTGCAAATGTGGCTACTAGTATCGGCTCTAATAATGACTTTTCTCATCAAGCACAATTGTTAGATCAAACTGAGAGTTGGAATTTATTCGGTGAAAAGGTAAGCAAATTTGGTTATGCTGAGTTTGAGGCGATTGGGAGACCCATCCTTAAGAAATGCAAAGGTTTGCCTCTGGCAATTGTTGTTGCTGCAGGTTTATTTTCCAAACTTCATACACTAGATGAGTGGAAGAATGTTGCAAAAACTCTAAATTCATCTACAACAACAACAATTGATGAAGAATGCTCAAGGATACTCTCATCGAGTTATAATCACTTGCGTCACAGTTTGAAGGCTTGTTTTTTATATTTGAGCATATTTCCAGAAGATGAAGATATCCATGTTAAAGAGATTGTAAAGTTATGGATTGCTGAAGGACTTGTAAAGGCAGATGATGAGGATATGAGCTTTGATGCGGTGGCTAGAAGGCACATTCAAGAATTAAAGGATCGGAACCTAATTCTTGTAAAGAAACAAAGTATTTGTGGAAGAAGAGTAAAGACATTTAGAATGCATGATTTAGTGCATTCTTTTTGTGTGAGTGAAGCTAAAAAGGAAAACCTTCTGCATTATGTTGTCTATGGAAATGAGTCCAGTCCTCCTCCTAAATACTTCCGATGGGTAAGCATCCAATCAAGTGGGTTTATTGAACAAACATTATATTCTTCTCTAAAAAACTGTCGATCCATCTTCGTTTTTTACGGACTAAATATATCTTTAAATTCGACATTTGGCGGCCTAATAAGAGTAGTCTATAATATTCGCTATAAAATGGCGTATCTTGTCCATATGAGATGCCTATTATGGTCACGGCCGCAAGTGTGGAAGGACCTTAGGATTTGGAATTCATGGGAAGAATATCCATTTTGTAGTTGGAATCTTCAAACGCTTGTAGATAAAAGTAGTGATAAAATGAGCTTCAGCTTTTTAGAGTTCCCAAAACAGAGCTTCAGCTTTTCAGAGTTGCCACAACTACAACATTTGCATAGTTACAGAGGTTTGAGTGATCTTCCCATATTTTTTCATCAAAACTTGAAGAGCATTCGTGGGTTGAGTCCTGATCAATGCACAAAAGAATTATTTACAAATATTCCACACCTAAAGAAGGTAGAGATTTTATGTGAACATGATTGGAGTGCTGATTTCATTAATAACCTTGCCTATTCACACCAGCTCCAAAATCTGCATCTTCTTGGTACATTATTAGGGCCTCAGTGGGTGTTTTCAAAAAGAAATATTAACCACCTTCTTTGCTTGAAAAACCTTATGAAGTTGAGGATTACGGGTTTTACATTTGAGTGGAAGGCAATTAATATTCTTAGCAAGTTGCCTAAACTTGAGGTGTTAAGACTAACAGCTTGGAAGTGCATTGGTGAGGAGTGGAAACTATTGGAGGAGGAGAATTTCAATCATTTAATTTATTTGAAAATTGCTTTCGTTGATCTAAAGCATTGGGAAGCAACTGCCTATCATTTCCCAAATCTTAAGCGCCTAGTTCTTAAAGGGTGTCGGGAATTGGTAAAGATCCCAGCTGACTTTGCAGAAATTCTAAATTTGAAGTCAATCGAATTGACTAAGTGTCTTTGTTCTGCGGTGGATTCTGCAAAGGAAATTCAAGAACAGCAACATGAGTGTGGAAATGATAATATGGTTGTCATTGAGAAAAATACTTTAGTGGTGAGTCTCTCTCCATTATTCTTTCTCTATTGCCTTTTTTATGTCACTCCACTTTTTCTCCAGACATGATTTAGTTTCACCATGTCCTAATAATTTCTTTTCAATGATTCATGACAGCCTCGCTACAGATGATGATGAACTAGAGCTATATAGTTGAATAAAAGCAAAAAAATAAAAAAAATAAAAGGTATGTTTACAGTCAACCTATATATATATATATATATATATGTAGCAAAAAGACTGATTGAAAGGCATCTGAGTGTGTGATATTTGGGCATTTGAATTCTTCCTATATGTATGTGTTACTTGTATACTCAGTTGTTGAATGTTCATGTGCACTCTCATATTTCTGTAAGTGTTTAAACTTCAAATATTGTATTTTAGTGGTTCGAACCTTCAAAATCTGCTGTCTACTTCTCAGGCAATATTTTTTTATTAACTTTTCTTAAATAGCTTTCTCTTTCACATTTGCTATGACAGCATATTATATGACATACAGCTGCCATCTGTATATATAGTGTTACACATTCTCTGTTTGATCACCATATATTTTTCATATATAGTCATCTGAATTTAGTTATCTTGAACAAGTAAATGTCTCTTTTCCTGCAAATGAGTGTTTAAATGATAAGAAATTTTTGTCAAGTATATGGAATTAGATGTCAGTTTCACTGAGAATTTCAGTCATGACATGTATTTAAGTTATATAATCTGAAATTCATAAGAATGATTTATAATTAATTTTTTGTCACATTTTCTAATACCACTGATGAAATACTTAGTATCAAGCTACCTTAATAGACCAACCCATCCATATATATAGCTAAATCAATAGGTCTACTGAAGCAATCAATACCCAGGGGCCGAATAATCCATAATCACTCTTATTTGATAAATACTGGACAATATTTAATGCTTGTAAAACACTATCACAGCTACAACTAATGCAACAATCAAGGCATGCATTGATTTCAATTCCTATCTATGAATGCCTCATATTTTAACAAGGTTGTAGTGTTCAACATCATATATATATATATATAGAGCCGGTTCTTGTGCGGGTGAATGCCTCAGGTGCGATTGTGCGGTTTAATCTGAGCTATTCATCTCACTTAAATCAACGTTCAAGATTACCAAAATTAAAAAATAAAAAAATAAAAAAAATAAAAAAAATAACGCGGTTGTAATTTTGTAATTTTTGCATTTAGGTCAAAATTAAGGTGAGTGGTTTTGTGATTAATGTGCGTGAGTTTTGTGTATAAAGTGCGTGAGTCTTGTACGTAAGGTGCGTGAGTTTTGTGCTTAAGGTGCGTGGGTTTGTGGTTAATGTGAGTTGTTGTTAAAACTTAAAGTGTGGGCTTTTATGTTTAAGGTGCGTGATATTTGTTCTTAATATGCGTAGAGTTTGTGCTTAATGTGCGTGGGGTTTGTGCTTAAGGTGCGTGGGGTTAGTGATGAATGTCAGTAGTTGTTAAAACTTAAAGTGTGGGCTTTTGTGCTTAAGGTGCGTGAGATGTGTTCTTAATATGCGTGGAGTTTGTGCTTAATGTGCGTAAGGTTTGTGCTTAAGGTGCGTGGGTTAGTGATTAAGATCTGTAAGTTAATACTTAAAGTTCGTCAATTTAATGCTTAATGTGCGTGAGGTTTGTGCTTAATGTGCGTAGGTTTTGTACTTAATGTGCGTGGGTTTGTGCTTAAAGACATTTTAAAATCTTAAGAGTGTGAGTTTTGTGCTCAATGTGCTTTGCTCTGTGCTTAATGTGCGTGATTTTTGTACTTAAGGTGAGTGATTTGTGTTCTTAAGGTGCTTTATTTGTGGACTTAAGGTGCGTGGTGATTTGTGTATTTAAGGTGCGCAATGTTAATGCTCAAGGTGCGTCCAACCACACAACCGCACAGGAAGCATCAAGCCATCAACCGCCTGAACCCTTCCCTATATATATATATATATATATATATATATATATATATATATATATATATATATATAACATAATAAGTCTCAATGAATGTTATATCCTTGATTTATGTCCCTCTTTTTATATGCTAATAAAGGTATACATATTACTTTAAATGTTTTACACTTCAATGTTATTAGACAAAATTATCCCTACTATATTCTTGTTAGACGAAACTACCCTTACACCGTTACTTTTTAATTCAACGTTGATGACTCCATCATTATTACTATGCGCTTATATTTATCATATCTTCTTCCTATTCTTTAATTATAATTTTATTAAAATCATTATATAATTAATTTAATGCTTGATTATTATATTTTAATTAAATTTCTATGAATGGTAAATCATATATGTGTGTATAAAATACATATATTATTTGTGTATATATAATTCGAATTATAATTTAATTATTTGTATTTATCAATGTTTTAATATTGGGCATGAACTTTCGCGCATCGTGCGTACAAAATGCTAGTATATATATATATATATATATATATATATATATATATATATATATATATATATATATATATATATATATATATATATATATATATATACATATACATATATACATATAGATTTGTATTCAAATGAGGACAAGTATATTATAGAGGACTGTGAGGACAGATGTAGTGTGTGCCATTAGCCAGTATGTTGTGTGCATGACCGAATGAAGTCGTGTGCCACAGTTTGTATGTCGCGTGCTAGTTTTGTTAATTTATAGAGCCTGGGTTCGAAACCTGATGTTTACATTTATTCTTGTGTGCCATTATGTATTAAGTTGTGTGCCTGGTATTAGTTTGTTGTGTGCCCATTATTTGTCCTCACAGTCCTCTATATATTGTTGTCCTCATTTGAACTCAGCAGCTATATGGTTGGGAAATAATTAATGTTATAATTAATTACCAACATTATTATTATTACTAGCTATAAATATAAAATAGCCACAACATCTTTTACTATTAAAAAAAAAAAAAAGCACAACATTTGAAAAATAAAATAGTTATTTTTTTTTCTCGCCCATAACAAAGGATTACATTTATTGAATTATTAAATGTTATGATATTAGGATTAGGGATTCCAAAGCATTTGGGAGGATGTAAATCATGGTGACTCAACTGCTCACTGCGCACTCAACTAAACATGAACAATTATTAAATGTTATGATATTAGGATTAGGGATTCCAAAACGTTTGGGAGGATGTAAATCATGGTGACTCAACTGCTCACTGCGCACTCAACTAAACATGAACAATTATTATAATTTCCGTTGGTGAAACTCGATCCCTAGTTATTCTTCTAAAGTTTCACCTCTATGACCAGTTGAGCTACCCAAAGTATTTGAATATGTACATAATTAGAGATTATATTAACCATACAAAATTTTAATTATAATTTTGTATTCTATAAAAATAATAAATACTTGACCAATGGAAGCTCAAAAATATTATTATATTAAACAATTTAAAATATTTTTTTTTATTTTTTTTATTTATATTTATAATAACATAAATTTTTCCCCGTGCATCGCGCGGGTGAATTACTAGTTAAGAGTAATACCTCTAGGGATGGCAATGTGCCCATGGGGACGGGGACGGGGAAATCCGGCCCCGCCCCGTCCCCATCTTGCTCGGTGGACGTACAACTCATTCTACATTCAAAATACCAATTGACGGAGATAATAAGTATGTCTACAATATTGGAAACGAACTGCAGAAGCTACCTTATTAAAAAAAATGTAGATTGATTATTTGAGATGAAACGTCTATGGCTAACCGTCGGGCTATTGAAAGCATTGATACAACGCTTAGAGATATTATGAAAACGGATCAAAAATTTTTGGAGGAAAAGTGGTTGTTTTTTTAGGTGATTTTTGACAAACATTGCCCGTTATTAGATATGGGAAGAAAGAAGATTTCATTGAAGCAAGTTGGGTTAAATCCACATCAATTTGGCTAAACATCCAACGAGGATCCGAATTTTTGTGACTACTTGATGAAGATTGAAAATGGAACTGAACTATTCATAGGTCGAGACAAGATTGAGATTCCATCTTCATTTATTATTCCATGTACAAATGATGATAGTTCTCTTGATGCTTTATTTCAATCTGTATATCTTGACTTAACATATTTCAAAACTGATCCTTATTCATTAATGAGCATAGCCATCTTAACAACTAAGAATGAGATTATAGATGAAATTAATTTTATCTTAATACATAGATTCTTAGGAGAAACTGAGAAAGTAAACCTTAATCTATAGATTCCCACGAGAAAGTAAGTGCTATGTTAGTTTTAATAAGAGAACTCATAAACTTTTAGGGTAGTGTGTTTCACATGTTTTAAAACAGTGATCAAGTATTCTATTATTTGCACTGAGTATCCGGTTCTTTATACAAGACTTAAGTTCTTAACAAGTCATACACAAGTTATTGAAATTCTTTTGGAGTTGAAGAACCTTAAAATAGGAGGTCGATAGTAAAAAATAATGCTGCGAAAATGATTTCAATATAAGAATTGAAGGAGAATATGATGTGAATTCCTATTTTAGTCCTCTAATAATAAAGAGTTTTTGGATTTTTCGTCAAGTTGAGACAAAAATTTAACATCGGAGACCAAACTCTTCACTTTGTTTATAACTGGGGGAAAAAATAGATACAATCATAATTACACTACTGAATTAGACTTTGTATAAATCAAGAACTAAAGATCCAATTTTCTAAAAAAATTAACAAAAAAGTGTCAAATTGGCCCCCTAAGTCGAGTGGATAGTGCAATTGGGTTCCATAAGTGAAAAAATCTTCATTTAGGTCCCCCTAAGTCGAGTGGATAATGCAATTGGGTCCCATAAGTGAAAAAAGCTTCATTCAGGTCCCCTAAACCTGTAAAATAGTTCAATACGGACTTGTTTATCAGGTTAAATGCATACGGTGTTGACACGTGTCTTTATTTTATTTTTTATTAAAAATATTATTTATTATAAATTAATTAAAATAATAATAATAATAATAATAATTAAAAAGAATTATAAAAAATTAAAAAAAATTAAAAAAAATAAAAAAACAGTCGTGGCCGTCCGGCCACGGCTGCTTAAGGAAGACGGCCATGATCGTCTTCTAGATCTGGACGAGGGCTACGGCCTTCACCATCGCCCTCGTTCCGGCCACGGCTATCCTTGAAGAAGGAAGACAGCCACCGGCTGTCCGGCGTGGACAGCCAGTGGCTGTTTTTTTTTTTTTTTAATCTAATTATTATTATTTTAATTAATTTATAATAAATAATATTTTTAATTAAAAAAAAAAAAAAAAAAAAAAGACGCGTGTCAACACTGTATGTATTTAGCCTGATAAACAAGTCAATTTGGACTTAATTGAACAATTTTACCGGTTTAGAGGACCTGAATGAAGTTTTTTTCACTTAGATGACCCAATTACACTATTTACTCGACTTAGGGGATCAATTTGACACTTTTTCCAAAAATGAAAGATTAAATTAAATGGGCTAACGTGAAGCTAGATGGGCCCTCATTTCCAATAGCCGTTGCCCTAAAACATGGCAATTTATATCTTACACCACGGCGCGTGTTGCATTGTGCGCCCAGATGCAAAACAACGTCGTTTTAATTTTTTTTTTTTTTTGAAATTTTCCGCCCCAGTGTATGGCAGTTAATTTTTTTTTTTTTTTAAAAACCCTATTCAAAAATGTACATAATGTTATACTAGAATACACATAATTGTATACATGAATGTACATAATTATTTAACAAAATATACATACTCTTTTTAAAAGATAATACACATAATCTAACATAATACATAATAAACATAAACTTTTAACATAATACACACAAATTTTCTGATTCGGATGTACATAATTGTATAAAAAGAATGTACATAATTGTATAAAAAATGTACATAACTGTATGAACAAATATACATAATTGTATGAACAAATATACATAATCACAGCAACTTCCTATCGCGCCTCCCAAAACGACCCCAAAACGACGTCGTTTTGGGAGCCGCGCGGCGCACAGTGCTACGCGCGCCGTGGTGTAGGGTATAACGATTGCTAAAACATTTTCTGTTTTCTCCGCCGTCTGTAATCTTTTTCAAATTTTCACCTAGAGAAAATTTCAATTTTGGTCATATGACTATAGGGGTCTTGTTAATTTCAGTCCCTGACTTTCAAAAGTGTCAATTTAGTACCTTAACTATGCAATTTTTGTCAATTTTAGTCACTCCAGCCAAATTTCGCCGGAAAAATTTTAATGGTTAAAATAATAAGGGTATTTTGGTCGTTTCACGCCTCTTTTCTTCTTCTCCGGCGAGTCCATCTCTTTCTCTCCCGTTTTCGGCATTCTTTCTCTCTCTAAACCCTATCTTTAATATCATCAAGCCTCATTTCGCCATCATCGTAGTTCATTGCATTCACCGAAAACGGGAGAGGAAGGGATGGACTCGCCTGGGAAGAAAAAAATAGACGTGAAATGATCAAAATACTCTCATTATTTTAACAATTAAAATTTTCCGGCAAAATTTGTCCGGCAATTTGACCAGAGTGACCAAAATTGAAAAAAATTGCATAGTTAAGGTACTAAATTGACACTTTTAAAAGTCAATGACTGAAATTAACAAGACCCTCATAGTCACATGACCAAAATTGAAATTTCTTCTTCTTCCATTTGTTTACGAGGTTATAGTCCATTACCTCCACGAATCTTATATGTATTATTGTTAAGGTACTTAAAGAATGAAATGATGAAGACATTATATTTGATGTTGAATATGATAGCATTCATGTATTAGCTCTAGCTGATCATTCTTGTTTTGTCCATATCAATTTGTTCCTTAATACCTTCTGTAATTTTGTATTTCCCCAGTTTAAGATGATTATTAGAGATAAGCAACTGGTGTATAGGACTGACTGATACGGAGACGTGAATTGTCAGTCGGACAAATAGATTGCAGATTAATTTGTCGAGGAAAAACTAAAGCAGATAATAAAACAACACATACGATGTTTACCCAGTTCGATACAGTGTGTATCTACATCTGGGGACGATCACCGAGGCGTCCAATCCACTAACTCATAATCCAATGTACAAAGGTAGAGAAATAAGAATCTCACCCAAGTGCCCCAAGGTACGTACCCAGTCTACAAAGGTTTAGTGGATTGTTGAAAAATCCCTTCGATTGGAGAGCGATGCAGTCCGCTTCAATGACGCAGTGCCACATTGTTCCCACAACTTGAGTGATCTTCGCGTCCTTTCGTTTAAGCAACGATAGTTCTTCATCATAATCACCAAGAACAGATATTCTTGAGAAGAGGCATGATAATCAAAGATATGATCCTGTGTATAGCAAGTAGTGTTTTTTGTCTTCTTAAAATCGTAACCCTAATTCATGACCGAATGAGGGTACATATACTTCCTTGGTAAGAACACTCTCCAAAAATATCTTTCATTGTAGATGGTAGGACAATTTGTGAAGAATGCAATCTTAAAGATTCGATTCATATCTTCCAAAACAGATCCGCTGATTTTCTTTCCAAAACTGTCTTCTTAAACGGCGTTCAGCATTTTGGAAACATCTTCCTTTATCAGTTCTTCAGTGTCAGTGCGTCTATTGATGATCCTGATCAATCAGTCTTCTGTAACAGCAAACAGACAACAAGCTAAACCCTATCTTAGTTTGCCATAATAATATTGTCAATTATATGCTGAGGTTTTTTTGGAGAAAGATAAAAACACTAACACCTTCTATGTGGTATTTGGATCCGGCTGTCGTGTTCTCAAATTTAACATCTTTGGGGTAATGAGGTTCTTGAAAATGTAACTAAAATGACTTGGAAATCATTTGTTCTTTTGTGGCCTGTTTAGAGAAAATTTTTCATTAGAGTTTTTCAAAAACTTATATGATTTGATTTGCCATTGAAAAACTAAAAGCCAAACATGAATTTAATTATATTCTTATTTATAAAGTACTAAGTTATTTAAAATCAATTTCTTTGTTTAACATAAGAATACCAACACATGGGGTAATTTATAATGGAGTAGATTTTTTTGTCTCTTGAGGGAGAGAGAGTATTCTTAGTATCTGTACACTCTGAATTATACTTTTAGGCTATGTAATTTGTGGTACCCTTTTAAACCATTTCAATTGTCTGCTTCTCTATTTGTGGGCTTTTGAGAATGAGGTGATGAATATTACAACATGTTGATGGCTGATATGATGGCATTTTATCATGTATTAGCTCTAGCTGATCATCCTCTTGCCCATATTTACTATGATATGACTATTGATAATATTCTTCTGTATTTAAGCAACTACTTAATTCAAATCAAAATTAAGAATTATTGGCATTTTATTGTCTATTAGCTCTAGCTTGTCATTCTCTTGCGCACATTTACTATGTTAAGACTATTGAGGTCATGAATACTACATAGTAAATTCAAGCTTCTAGTAAATTCATGAATATTATTAAGAATTCAAGCTTCTCTATTCTTGGGCTTTTGAGAATGAGGTGATGATTATTACAGCATGTTGATGGCTGATATGATGGCATTTTATCATGTATTAGCTCTAGCTGATCATCCTCTTGCCCATATTTACTATGATGCGACTATTGATAGTATTCTTCTGTATTTAAGCAACAACTTATTTCAAATCAAAATTAAGAATTAATGGCATTCTATTTTCTATTAGCTCTAGCTTATCATTCTCTTGCACGCATTTACTATGTTAAGACTCTGAGGTCATGAAAAATAATCTTCTGATTCAAGCAACTACTTATTTTAAATCCAAATTAGCCAAGAGATGAAATGCTTCATGTTTTATTGCTTTATTGGGCTCAGAATCTCTAATCTTTGTGCCCATGACTTCTTCTTTTTGTATGGTTGTGTACTTATTATAAATATATGAGTGTGTTCTATATGTTATTTGTTTCACCTTGCCTTGGTAACTCTCTAATAATTTGTCACAAATATGAGGGAGTGACAGTACGTCACCACAAATAGGCAATAGATTATGGCATAAGTGGAATGAGCCCTAATATTGTAGATCATTGTGGTCATGGCTATGACCAATATGCCAGTTCACAACCTCTGCCATGATTATTTTGCACTAATTTAAAATAATTTGTTTGGAAGTAGATGGTTTATGTCTGTTTGTTACATTATGTCATTTGGTTATTTTCATCTTCCTAAGATTTCATATAGAAATATAGCAAAACATTAATTCATTGATTGGATTGGACATGGTTGACACAATAGTTGGAAATAGAGGAGGAAGGAAAGTTGCGGTATGAGAAAGCAAACTCACTCTGTCCCAAGACAAATGATAATGTCTTTTGGCAATTTCTTCGTTTGCAACATCAATTGAATTTTAACTTTAGCTTTCCAATTTCTTGCCCATGAGATCTATCATATTCTTTGGTCTTTTTGGGCACATGATTGGATTACATCCTTGGTGACATTTCAATATATCATTTGTTTGTATAGAGGGATGATTTAAATTTTATATAATTCAATTTAAAATCATACTCCGGGTGAATCTTTGAGATGTGAGAAGAAATTAGGTGTTTTTTATTTGACATTTTGCCATGTAATGGGCGCAAAAAACATATAATTGGAGAAGCAGTTTTGAGATTTCATAAATGCCTTTGATGTAAATAGAGTTGTTGCAATTTTTTGTTTAGGCTAGGATTATGTTTATAATGACATTATACATTAATATGTATATTTTAATTTTATATTTTGTTAGATAATTGACAATGTTATGTATTAGTATATACGGAGTATCATATTGGCATATAAATATATATATATATATATATATATATATATGTGTGTGTGTGTGTGTGTGTGTGTGTGTGTGTGTGTGTGTGTGTGTGTGTGTGTGTGTGTGTGTGTGTGGCAATCGTTATATCCTACACCACGGCGCACATAGCACTGTGCGCCGCGCGCCTCCCAAAACGACGTCGTTTTGGGCTTGTGTTGGGAGGCGCGGTAGGAAGTTGCTGAGATTATGTGTATTTGTTCACAACGTTATGTGTATCGGTTCATACAGTTATGTGTATTTTTTATACAATTATGTATATTCTTTTTATACAATTATGTACATCCGAATCAGAAAATTTGTGTGTATTATGTTAAGAGTTGATGTGTATTATGTTAAAAGTTTATGTTTATTATGTATTATGTTAGATTATGTGTATTATCTTTTAAAAAGAGTATGTATATTTTGTTATATAATTATGTACATTCATGTATAACATTATGTGTATTCTAGTATAACATTATGTACATTCTTGAACAGCGGGTTTTTTTTAAAGAAAAAATTACTGCCATTCACTGGGGTGGGAAATTTCAAAAAAAAATAATAATTAAAACGATGTCGTTTTGCATCTGGGCGCATAGTGCAACGCGCGCCGTGGTGTAGGATATAAATTGCCTGTGGATGGATGGATGTTTATTTTTTGTATCGTATATAAAAGTAAGTATATTGCAGGACCTTAGTAATTTAGGAATTTTTTTGGTAATTTGGTTGATCCACCTGAGTCCTGACTAGCCTAACAGTCCAACGAGGTTGACCTGATTAGCTTGGTTATAGGCTAATTTTATTTGGCCCTAATCTATAATTTTTTGGTTTATCAGGTTAGGTCATCATTTTTGGGTTACAATTGACATTCCTACTTAAAATTGATTGTGGAAGTTTTCGATATTCAATTTCCATGATGTATATTTATGCTCAACTAATTTTCCCAGCTGCTGGGTCAATTATTATCCCAAGTTGATAAATTTATTTCATTGTCACATATTGTAATTTCAACATTATAAACCCTCATACAATATGATGAAGTCACATCTTTGATTTTTAAACCCTCATACATTTTTTTTTTAGAGAAGCATTAACTCAATAATTTAAACCTCAAATATAACCCGCCAAGTATTTAAGTGATTTAGCCTTAGTACCTTGTCAGGAATTTTGCAATTTGCCCATAAACATGAAATTTCACATGTGTAGGCATGGAATGGACATTTGGTTTTTGGCATCAACCCAAGTTGTCAAAGTTTTGTGGGTTTCATTGTTTCAAACTAGAAGGATCAATACTCAGACAAGGTGTGGAGTTAGATCTAATAAGATATGATAAAAATAAATGATATCAATTATTGGGAAGTTGTTTGATGCCCGGCAATAAAGACGAAATTATAAATTTTCTTTTACAAAATTTCCTTTTCTTGCAAAAAGAAATGAAAAATACATTTGTTACCTTGATTACAACACATACGAAAATGATCTTGTGATAAATTATAGTAAATATCAATCATCAATGCTATAAAAATGAATGTATGAAAGCCTATACTTAAAAATTAAGAGATATGTAGTCTACTGGCATCAAGTGACTGTTTCAAATGGGAGGTCATGGGTTTGAGTTTTAGTGAGGACGGTAATGACTCTTTGTGCTTCAATAAGTTGTGAAAGTAGATGAATAGATATTATATTGGAGTAAATACCAGCGGACAGACTTTGGTGGCACTGCCACTTTTAGTCCTCAACTTTTAAACCAACCACTCTTAGTCCTCTTACTTTTTGTTTCTAGCCATCTATGGTCCTTCCGTTAAACTTGACCATCTAATGCCGTTTTCTCAAAGATAATTCAGTCTTTTCATAATTAATTTATTAATTATTATGTTTGCCGAGTCATACCGAGATATCCCGACGTCGTTTTGGCACAACTTTCGTACCAGCTTTTGTATGCCATTTTGATTCACGAGCTGGTTTTGTATACGTTCATAGCTGGAAAACCATTGTTTGACTATTCAGATGAGGAAATTAAACATAATAATTAATAAATTAATTATGAAAGGACTGGATTACCTTTTAAAAAACGGCATTAGATGGTCAAGTTTAACGAAAGGACCATAGATGGATAGAAACAAAAAGTAAGAGGACTAAAAGTGGTTGATTTAAAAGTTGAGGACTAAAAGTGGCAGTGCCACCAAAGTCGGAGGACCTCCGCCGGTATTTACTCTATTATATTGTAATAGAGTTACTAGTACTCATCGAAAATCTCTCCCAACGTCTCTAGGTTTCCCGTCCTTTTTTTGGTAAGTTTCGCGCCGTCCTTTGGCCATGGAAGCAGAGGCGGCCCCCACGCCGGCGGTGAACGGCGGCCAACTGGGCCTCCAGGATGGTGGCACGAGGGGCTTCAAACGTTTCAAACCCACGAAGCGCTCGTTTGCTGAGGCTGCGGCCGACCACCCATCCTTTGACACAGAAGGTTCGAGTTTGGAGGATGAGGACAACTGGTTCGAAGATGAGATTCAGGTCGACGAGGATAAAGAGAATATTGTTAGGGAAGGAGAAGAAGGTATACCTGTGGTTAAGTTTCCTAAAGCTCTCCGAGCCGAATGGATCAAACCTTGGAAGAACGCGTTGATCGTGAAGTTCCTTGGCAAACCAATTGCGCTTTCCCTTTTCCAGCAACGTATGTTGCGTTTATGGAATCCGCAAGGTAAGGTGGAGATCATTGATCTCGGATCGGGCTGGTTTATCACCAGATTCCAACTGAAAGCTGACTGCATGCATGTGATAACGAATGGTCCGTGGAAGTTATTTGACCAATACGTCGTAACCCAACGGTGGAAACCAAATTTCGATCCCTCCAGCGAAAAACTAGAGCGAATGGTGGTCTGGGTACGTCTGCCGGGCCTCCCGGCTGAATTCTTTCGTGAGAAAGCAGTTAAAGACATCCTTCGGCAGGTGGGTTCGCCGCTAAAGTTGGACAGATCAACGTTAGGGGTAGTACGGGGTCAATTTGCAAGAGCGGCAGTGGAGATAGATCTCTCAAAACCACTGGTGGCAGTGGTTAAGGTAGAAGATCGTCTCCAACGCATCGAATTTGAAGGTCTTCATGTTATCTGCTTCGGATGTGGAGAGGTAGGACACAGGTCGGAATTCTGTTCCAAGAACCAGACTGGTGGTGGTGGAGTCGACGCCGGTGCGGATCCTCCTCAGGCCAACATGAACCAAGATGACATGCACGTGGAACAACACCAGCCTCCTCCGGTAATCCCCATCGAAAAGCATGGCGCTTGGATGATCGTGAATCACAAAAAGAAAGATAAACGTTTTCCTGGAGCCAAATCTAAGCCAAAGCTGAAGAGTAACGCGAATAAACGCACTCAGAGCCTGCCGATGGAGAAACATCAAGCACGGGAAGGTGGAAACCGGTCCTAAGGGAAAGGCAGAGCCTCGGGTGGCAATCCAGGTAATCCTCCATCTAAATCGCCCCTAACTGTGAATAATACTTTCACGCCGTTGCAGGGTCTTGATGGGCTAATTGATACGCCAATCACGGTGGACGATGATCCAATGTTGAATGGAAGGAAGAAACAGACAAACAAGAAGAATCCTAATAAGAGCAACCAAAAACAGGTTGCAGACAAGAAGGGTTTCCAAGAACGTGGAGAATCCTCCAGTAGAACCAAGTCCAACAATTTGGGGGTCCATTTTGTTTTTGGCAACACAGACAATCCCATATCTTGAGTTAACACTGGTCCTCCGTCCTTTGGGGGAGGGGGGAACTGGTTCAGTCAGGCTACGCGTAAGGAAGGTGGTGTTAATTCTTCCTTGTCTCGAACGGCCTCTCAATGATTCTGATCTCTTGGAACTGTCGTGGCGTGGCGAACCGGAAGACGATCAGCCATGCCAGAATGTTGATGAGAGATAAGGAGATTGGTGCCATTTGCTTCCTGGAAACAAAAACCAGGGAGTTTGGTAAGTTAAAGAGTATGGCTGAAAATTTGGGTTTTACTAACTTTTTTTCTGTTGACCCCCTGGGTTTTGCTGGGGGCCTAACGCTCTTTTGGAGGGCAAGTATTTTGAATTTCAGGGTTGTTCAGAATTCCACTCAAGCAATACATGGGGTGGTGAACACGGGTTCCACTGAGGTGAGGGTTTCTTTTGCTTACGTGAGACCGAACCCATCTGCCAAAGAAAGGTTCTGGAATGAGTGCAAAACTATGGCGACTTCGAGGAATGGGCCATGGATAATGATGGGTGATTTCAATGACATCGCCAACGAAAATGAGCAATGGGGTAGCGACTCAATCAACATAAGTCGCTGCCTCAAGTTTGTGGATGGTTATAATGATTGTGGCTTACTAGATATGGGAACGATCGGGGCCCGCTACTCCTGGTTCCGACATCACGGTGGGCGTATGGTACAGCGTAGGAAACTGGACAGAGTCCTTTGGAACACGGAGGCACAACTCCTCTTCCCAGAAGCCAAAGCGGCAGTCCTCCCAAGAACGCATTCCGACCACCACCCGCTTAAGTTCATGGGTAGTGCAGGTGATCCTCCAAGAAGAAAAAATAGGCCTTTTCGCTTTGAAGGAGCGTGGCTCAATAGGGT